AAATCTTCTATTCAACTCTTTAGTATCTTGAATTCTTCCCTGTGCTTTGGCTTCTCTGCGTTCCAGTGCATAGTCTGTCTAAATGTGGGAACTCAGCCAAACCCTGTCCACCATAGGTAACCCTTATGGCATCTGACATACCAGTGGCACAGCTTTCAGCATTCCAGCAACTCCAAGTTATCTCAGTACAACAAACTGACAGACAAGTGCTGTGCCACTTAGAACAATGTTCTCCTCAATCACAATTAACACCACACCTGAGGGCCACAGGCTCAGGGCCCAACCAACTTTAAAATATCAAGGCCTGACTACCAGGTCTAAATTGATTTAAATAAGAGGCTTCCAGCCCACAGGTGATTGTTAACTAAATTCATATGAATTTACACTTCATTGGTAATTAAATAAAGTGACCAGTTTTTACTGACTCTGAATTAAATAAAAAAAAAAAAAAAATCTATCCTCCAGAATCTAACTGCTTCACACAGAAGGCCCCAAACTGGAGTCTCTTAATCAGGGCCTAACTGATTTTTAAATACAAAGACCTGTCTTCCAGGTCCTGATTTAAATAAGAGGCTTTCAGTCCAAAGCTTATTGTTAACTAAATCTAAATGACCAATCAGCTTACATTTGAGTTTTCTTTAGTGTCACACTAAGTAACATAATTTCCAAAATAACTGAAAACCTTTTAGAAGAGATAATAAGAATTGTATTAGAAGGTTCTCCAAGCCTATACCAGCTCTGTACAGTGCCTTCTCTGCCTTCTGTCGCCCCTCACTCACCAAACATGTGTATTTATAACAAAAAAAAAGAATTGTATTAGAAGGTTCAAAGTATTAAAATAAAGCAAAAGAGATCATACAAAAAACAAATAAATTGGATCATAAATATCTGTCTAAAGCCACGGTTTAGTTACATCAAACAATTAAAAACCCTATCAATAAGCCTGCATCTAGAAGGGTCTCTGAAGAATGTTTAGGTGTCACTCACTCATTCACAAAAAAGATTAAAAAAAACCCAAAACACACAAAACCTAGGTAGGTAATAAATGAATGACAGACAATACAGATAAAAAAAAAATGGCAGTACACCAAAAGGCCTGAGTAGAATTAATCAATTATAATTAATGTCTAAACAGTAAATAAAATGTCCGTGAGTGATTACATAATTTATGAAATACTTGAGCACCACAACAACATAAAGGTAAAGAATCCAATAGAAAAATGGGCACAGGATATGAACAGGCACTTCACCGAAGACGACATTCAGATGGCTAACAAGCACATGAAGAAATGC